TTCTAGGTTTTTGACTATGCTCTACAAAATGAAATCGGTTTGAGAAAAATCCGAGATATCAATTGAGCATCACTTGTCGCGACTCTCGTGCGGTCACTCATAGGCGTAATTCTTAAGTTATATATATTGTAACGTTGAACATATACTGTAGCGTTCTTTTTGAAATTGTTCACCCAATGCAAGAAAGCATGAAAGGCACTAAATTTCATTTCTCTTGCAGCGCGTACACCCCACCGTTGAATACTATAATCATGTACAAGTAAGAATTGTTTGCGCGCGCGGTTATAAATTATTTGTAAACAATAGGATCGATATGCCCTTCTCTTTACTTTTTAAGGCCAATATTATCTGAATATTGTCGAAAACGTGCAATATATCTTCGATTCAGTATAATTTTATATCAGGGTTGCAAGAGTTTACTAGCACATGATCTTCTTTTTCCAATTTTGTTCGTTTAAATAGTCGAAAGGTTTACTCATATAATCAGTTGTAAAATTTCTAAAATCAACATTGTCCCTACTTTCGTATTTATTGTCTATATTATAAGCAGTACTCTTGTTTCCACCACTCATGAAAACAAGTTATAGAAAAGAATGGCTAAGAACGCGTTCCCGAAAAGGAGAACACATTTTATCGACTAAGAACACGTTCTAAGAAAAAAAACGCCTTCAAACGCATTCCTAGTAACGACGAAACGCCTTTCTTTTCAAGACAAACGTGTTCTTGTTGAACGCGTTCCTGATCGATAAGAACCCGTTCATGGGGAACGCGCTGATGGGAACGAATGCGTTGAATAGCGATCGCGTCCTATGACTGTGAGAACGTTTGAACACTTCAAACAGGACGCGTTCGTATATTTAGCAAGAACGCATTCCTGATTTAGAAGAGTCCATTGTTCAAGAGCACGTTCGGATGCAGAAATATCTTCGAATTCTGAGCTTTGATTAAAGGTATTTTGGGCTAAGAATTTTCTGCCCAAATAACAGATTTATTCCTATTTACTTTTCAGAAGTAAGGACTTGCGTTTTTCATAATACGGATATAAGAACACTAAATGGGTACTAAGTGTCAGATCATTGGGAGGATATTGATGAAACGTTAGTTTCGCCGAAAAATGGTGCTTTTCTTACTGAGTAAAAGGTTAAGTCCACCAGTTCATGACTGGCGCTTATGAAGACAAAATATCTTGAATTTTATGTGCTCTTTCGAATTAAACTACTACGGATCATAAAAGTTTTGTCTCCGCCTGTTGTGACCGCTAGCACGCATTCTCTCTTAAATTAGATGCCAAAAAAAGAGTAGAAACAGTCTGACATCACAGATCGAATAAAAGATTAGCACTAATACCCCACCTGGATTAAACATAAAAACATAATCTTCTGCAATAAAAAAGTGGACAGTGGTTCAACATACGATAACTGCTACAGTCAGCTAGAAACAAGAAACATAATGGCTTAATTGTCAACAGAATAAACTTTCACATGTTGTTCAAAGCGGGATCTTTTTGCACCCCAAACATTATCAATATAATCCATACATACAATATTCCATTTTTTATCACGCCAAAAACTGTTTTCAAATTCTTGACGGATTTTATCAATATCAATTTTATCTCTCAAAGCAACATACATATTAACGAACTGCACATCTAGATGAAATTTTGTAATTTTCGTTGATGATAATACGTATTTCCATGTTGTAGCATTAACAAATTTTACCTTATAAGATGAAAATGAAAACCATTTCAAATTTGGGCAAAGTTTAAACACATGTTGAATATGAGAATAATCGAAATCTTTTACGTCACACGAATTTATTTTTAAGTATCTTAGAACTGGTAATGTATTGGTAACAATTGTTGTTGTTGTTCCAATCAATGTTAACGCTTTCAGATGAGCAAACGTTTGTAGTACGTGCGTTGTTGAAAATATGGCTAATTTTACGCCATTTATGTTATCAAGTGTCAACGATATTAAATGCGATTTGATCGATGGTAAAATTTTTTCATAATAGAATAGGAAACTATCTGGTGTTATGTCTGCGTGCATTCGCGGCATCGTACAGATGAGATTATCTATTCGTTGATTTAAGTTGGCCAACGAGTAGAATATTTCATACGAATCCATGTAATCAAACGTTTCATAGAACAATTCATTATTTAAATTTTCGAAACAAGTTGGCATTCTGAAAACAAAAAATCGGGTATATTTTGTGCAAACTGCGGTCGCCCATGTCAAGAAAAAATCTTAATATTAACCGCTTTTATTTAAATAAATAGATAAGCATTTCTTCAAGCAATAAAAAGGTATATCGCAGCTGCCATTGCTAACAAGATACACAAAATATCAATGTGAACGAACAAAATATAAAATAATAAAAAGATAACAGGCAGAATGTGACGAAACATACACACGTTTATTCGAAACTGAAACAGTATGTTTAGATATAACATTCTACATACATATATACGAACACATTAAAATAATATACTTGAAGGAGAAAAAATAATATTACGAAAGACAAAAACAATATGTTTGCTTGCATGTTACCGTCTCATTCTTTGATACTGTTCTCCTCTCGTTTATTGATGATATTCTGTATATCTTTATGTAACTCTTAAACTATCTACACGATTTGGCCTATTTTAAACACCAACAAATGGACCTAGTTCTATTTCCACCATCACTTACTTCATTCGGGAGTTGGTAAATGGGTGTCAGATTCTGGTGCTAAATCCGTGCAAAAGTATTGAAGGTAATATTCCGAGTTTTTGAACACCAATGAAAAAAGACCGATTAGCATGCATAGTCAAGATTTTTAAAATCTCTCTCATGGGAACAAAGCAGTATTTCTAAAAATCAAAAAAGATAGATCTGACATGGCATTCGTGGTATACATTTCGGCCTTATAGATTAAATCCTTTCGGTTGAAACCATATCGCACTGCTGTTCTACACCAAACATTATTACTATTGGCGGTGAGGTACTAGTAAGCAAAGTGAAGCTCGCTCTCAAAACAATTCACATATTATCGTTTTGTTCAGAATCTTTCTATGTGCACTGTATAGATTCGTTTACCCTTACTATTTTTAAATACCAGTGAAATGTCCGTTCATTTATTTTCAGTTAATACAAAAATAGAACGAATGACAACTATGTTTATACTTCCCACCGAGAGAAACACCAATGAAAAAGATCAACTTCAAAATTAAAAATGATAAATTACAGGTTACCTTCCTTTTTTGTTGACCGTCAATGCGTCCATAAACCAAAAGTTTTGTCTTTAACCGGTGTCCCTCATCAAAACAGAACACAAAAAACATACCAAAAAAATACTACTGATAAAATCGAGTCGATCGCATAACTTCAGTCGTTGTACAAAATATAGACACAGAACAGTGAATTTAGTTTTGCAGTTTCTGCAAAGCTAAGTTCATGTGTTCGAATCTCTATTCGTAAATTTCTATCCCATAAATTACAGATTACCTTCCTCATTATATAATGATTGAATAACTCGATGATTCCTTGTTGCGCAACAACGAAAGAGTCGATGGTTCAATTCTTTTTCCATACACATTAAAAGAATGAGAGCTTTTACTTATAAATGACTGTATGCTACAGCCGCACAAATTAAAAGCAGCTTTGCTTGCAAAAATAAATATTTTATCTTTAGGTAACGTTATAAACAACGTTATCAAACACATTGAGTTTCTTTCCAGGCTTTTGGACAAGGCTTTCATGCGTCCTAGAGTGGATTTTCCTTAACTGAACTATTACTTATACGAACGACAATGTGCACCGTCTCGTTATTGTCTTTGTGGACAGACAGAAACAATTGATCATTACTTTTTCATTTGCCCATTACACCTCCACAAAGAATTACTTTATTTAGAAAATTGTCGCTTATATCATGCACATTAAGGGTACCCTCCCCCCGTTCCTTATTCACCTTGTTGTCAAACGTAACTGGATTGAAGGGATTATTGAAAAATACATTTTGAGAAACTGACTGAATATTGAAGCTACTGAATATTCAGTCGTTTCAATATTCAGTCAGTTTCAAAACTAGAAGATCACTTCGGATTAATCATACCTTATTAACGAAGTGAAATTGAGATCTAAACGTTTGGCAGTAAATAGAGTGAATTATCTAGAATATTGTTGTCACCAAAATGTTGTTTGTGTCCTGCATTCGATGTAGCGAAAACGAAATGATTAAATTCAATACACCTGTATTTGAATGAAATTTGGTTACGAAACGTGCAAAGGAAATTGTAAAGATGTATCAACAATAGAAAAGCAATTTTTCGTTCTGTTTGTTTCTTTGGTCACAATAGAAATAACAAAGAAATGCGGTTTCACAGCACTTTCGTCATCAAGTAACGGTGAAATTTCGTCACATGACAAAAGTTCTGTTTTCCAATGATAAGAATTCCCCCTGCATGTGACAAAAGTTCTTGCGGCATGTGACGAAAGTGTCTGGTTTTTTACGCAGGTCAGCACTTTCGTCACACGTTTCATGGAAGCACTGCGATGAAATCAAGGTTGTAGTGCAAAAGTCATTAGTCCAAAGTGTAGTAGTGTAAGCTGGATTAGTCTATACTGCAGTAGTGCAGACTGGAGTAATAACTCCTTGCTTTTTTCTTTATAAACGTTACATTCTTAGCGAAACGCATAAAAAACCTTTCTGAAGTTTTTTCTAAAATCAGAATATCAAAATCAAGCGTCTATTGCGTTTGAAAGTAGTTCGGTCTGGAGTAGTCCACACTGCAAAAGTCGAAAATGGAGTAGTCCACATGTGAGCAGTTCTATGTTATTAGTGTGAAGAAAGTTCGCGATGGGGTGTAACGATAGTTGTAGGTATGTTACACAGCTGGTTACGAAAGTTCACCACTCTTGTAACCAAAGTGTAGGGTGATACTTCCCTAAAAATGCTATACACTTTCGTCACGTGTGACGAAAGTTCTTTTTTCTATGTGACGATGATTAACGTGACAAAAGTGCTGTCACCCGAAAGGCGCAGCATATGCGAAATGGATAAAAAAAGTAGATAAACCTATGTCTTATTTGATACGACTCTATTATAGTATTTTATATTCTTCACTGATCTTAGAAGAACTTCTTTTCATCAGTATGACAACTTCAACAATATTCTATCACATACCAACAGTAGGTAAGTTTCCAAGGAGTCCAAGTGGAACATTCATTCTTCTGCTTCTCTTCGACGCATTCAAGAGTCATTTTATATTTAAGAAATATCAAAACTAGTTTTTCATATGCCATTTTGGAGCGCGAGTCACAAAAAATTAGTTTGGGATTTTTAAAATAAGATTAAATATGAAAATTACAATTTAAAATTTTATTCAAAAATAGAAAAATCAAAGGACGGGGGCGATTACTTGATGAAATCGGCCCCTGCTTGAATTCCATCGACACATACATGGTTAGATGCAGAATGAACTGGAGAACATTTCTAGCCACTTGGCAGACCTTAGAAACGCTCTCAGAAAAAACTAGGCCGAATTTACCGAAACCAAAGTTCTGCTCTTCTCTCCTCAACGGTGAGGCTTCCGCGCTCCACACTTGTCTACCAGCCACGACGACACATATACCATTCGATAGAGAATTTCCTGCGCTACAATTTCATATATACAAAGTAGTGAAAA